GGGCGGCCCCCGCCAACCGGTTCCGGTTCAAGCGGGCGGTGCCGCCTCCCGCCGGGCGGCTGCGAGAGCGGCGGCCCCGGCCGTGCCCGCTCACGGGGGGCGGTGGAGGGGCCGCCCCGGCAGCCGCCGGCGGAGCCCGCCCCGGCTCCCGGCCCTCCCGCCCCGAGCGTCCCCGCCGACCCGCACACGGACGCTGTCCCACCGTCCCGGAGCTCAGCACGCTGGCGCTGAGGGGAGCGGGGGGTTCAGGCGCTCCCTTCCCCGCAGCGGTGCCTCCCGGCCCGGGGAGTCCTCGGGAAAGCCCCGTGCCCGTGACCGCGGCGGGGACCCCGCGGGGCCGCCCCTGGTCTAGGCCAGAGCCACCGCACCTGCCCCGCCGGGAGGGGCCCGCATCCTGTAGGGAAACATTCACTGGCGTCCCAGAGCTTTTTAGGGGCTGCGAACACTTTGAGAACTCGTTAGGTCTCCTGTAGACTGACGGTGCCAAAGAGAACAGGCCAAAGAGGAGTGTAATGCACCCCCTTCGTAGTACCTTCCCTGTGTTCAGGGCTTTCCCAGGCAAAATCCACTTTTGCTGTATCGGTGTAATGCTGAAGATGGGGATTGTGCATGGTTTTCATTAGTCTTTATTGTTTTGGTTTTTTTTTTCTTTAAATCTCTGTAATCTAAGCACATCTCATGACTGCTGGAGGTCTGAGTCATGGTAGTTGAATGGTTACACTGATAATTTGATAACAGAAACACACTTTTCTGTGTTTATAAAAAATGCTTTGACTTAAATCCCTGTGCCCAGGGAGCCGTTACTTGTTATTCTATCAGGCATCTCATGATATCTGATGTTTTCACAAGATTTGCTCAAGTCAGATGATTACATGAAAGACTTGCAAGTTTTCATCCTACATTTTTTTTCTCAGATCCCAAATTGCAAAGAAAAATTAATTTTTAATTTTCAACTACCTTTGAATGTTTATTTGATGCAAATAAAATGTGGGATACAAAGCATCAACAAGAAAGAAAAAGAGTGAAGTTTTTAAATGAAACTATTTTGAGGATGTTTTCTCTGACTAGTTTTGTGATACCCCCTCCTCAAGCATAGCTTGGCGGCAGATTTTGAGTTTCATCATCCCTTTGTGTTTGAGTAACTCAAATAAGGATAGGTTTACTATATTTTGTGTATTAGTGTCTTCAGTAGTTTGCATCAAGACCAAAGGAAATCAGATATTTGCTGGAGCTCTGATTTAGAAGTGTTGTCTTGTAGGATATCATGCTAGTGCTTCCACCACCATGTCATCACTTGCTGAGGGCACTTCAGCTCCTCCCTTGGAGCTCACCTTGGTCTTCAGATGAGCCTGAGCCTGTGCCCAGCTCGGTCTGCACAGACCAGGTCTGGGCTTAACCTGGTGGCAGGGTTGGTTAAACCTCACATGGGCATAGGCAACAATCAGAACATCTCAAACACGATTTTTTAAGAGTCAAATCATCTTAGTATATATACAATAGAACAGCAAGATGTTATTGAAGCACCTGGCTTATCACATCTCACAAGAGGACCTCAACAGAATTAGAGAGATCTCTGTGGAAGTATTATTATTATTATCTGTTTTCTTGCTTGCCATGGCTCCCTGACCTGCCCTGTTAAATTCTATCTTCCTGTAGGAAACAGGGACACATACTTATTTGTGGCCTTTTTGACCTGTAGTCTCCCAGCATGACATGGGCACTCAGGGCACCAGTGCCATTGTCTTTTAAATATGTGCTTGGGTAATGCTAACTGAGAAACCATTGTGTTGCCTTGCCTTGCTCTTTCAATCCCACTACATTTTTACATAAACATTTCATAACCCCTAATTATTTAGAAACTTTAACAGCTATATATCTATTGTAGCAAACTCTTGGACAAAACTTGCAGCTTAAACTTGTTCCATGATTTTCATAAGCTTTGAAACAGAACAGGCAACCACATGATGGAGATAGGTTAATTACAAAGTCTGCTTCTCTAAGTAGAGCTTTAAACAACATTTTCTTTATTAAAAAGGAATGATTTCAACTTTAGTTCATGTTTAAAACTAATATTCTAAAACTAAACATTTAAAATGTTTTAAATACTATTTAAAACTTGTGATCACCAGTTGTGACCATGTAATCACTATGTGATCAGTAGATGGATGATCTTTAAGATCTCTTCCAACCCAAACCATTCTATGATTCTATCCATCATTCTATCATTTTATGTAGCTACCTATTTTCTTACTTGCAGTCTTTCATTATGAATTTTTCATCTACCTTTATTCCTCCTCTTTTCACTCTAAGAGCTTGCTGAAGTACATTACAATGACAAAGGCACTAAAATACATATTTAAAGTCAAAGAAAAGGGATGCTGCTCCAGGGTAATGGTCTCCTGCTGGTATCTAAGAGCTGACAAGAGTACATAGGTGAAATACACACCAGGAAAACATAGTTTTGATTACTTTATTTCAGCTATCTCAAGTGTATGATGCAAATGTAGTTGCATTATTTGATAAATATTGGTACAGTAAAGCAAGAACTGTTCACTGTACCTTACTGGCATGCTTAGACATCATGTATATCTTTCTTTGATGGGAGACTTTTCTATTCTTGATGTTTACCATTATGTATTTTAACAAGTTTGCCCTCCTGAGCAACTGCATATGTCAGCTGAGTACCACATAAAGCTCCTTAAACCACGGCCAAGACTTTCAAGCTTGGTCAGTGCTGACATACCATGTTTACAAAGGGCTTATTCTTCCACAAAAATATTTTCAATCTGTAGCATCTCCCCTCTACAGAGGATACTCCACTATACAAAAGATAATGGATTTTAATACGCTAAAATTAATGATGTGACCCATTAAATTTTGTGCTTGAAATCTTCTTGGAACATTGTTGAAAAATATGAGTATTTCAAACCAGCAGATGTAGGTCAGTGTTTTGCTTAATATAAGCTTTTATCTGTTTTGAGTAGATAAAAATTGTAACAATTATTCAATCCAAAACTTTCTTCCTGCAAACCAAACAATTTGAGAAGCACAGTTAAAAAAAAAAATATCTTAAGATAAATGATTGGTGACAACCAGATCTTTTAATTCTGCTGGTCTTTCAAATACAGTCTGAGAAATTTGTGTCACACAATACCTTCCCCACACCGCCATCTGATGTTTAGTAAGAGTCCTACTCACAGTTTGGGCATCCACTCTAATGCCATCTTGCCAAATTTATCACATGTAATCATTGTTTGGAGTTTAAGCAAAAGCTTGAAATTAACATTGCTAGGTACACAGTGGTCTGGCTGGTCAGCTGAACCATACCCTAAACTTTGTTGATTGTAGTAGCTACATTTCTCTTGACTATAGTATTAAATTCCAAATCAACTAAACCACAGTCATGAACACATCTGAGGAATTCTTATTGTTAATATTTTATGTTTATTGTTACAAGTGTAAATTCAGTAGCATTAATACTTTCTTTCTCAAAGAAAGACCAGAGTGCATCCCAGTTGATTCTGCCCCAACCTGTATGGCAAAGCCTTTCACTGTGCTGCCTCTCAAGAGAATGAATTCATGGATCAGCTCTTAGATTCCCACCCCCATGGATCTGAATTGACTACTCCTGGGGCAGACTTCTCCTTTGCTGACGGTGTTGATTCTTCCAGGATTAAGGCAGTCTTTTTCTTCTTGGAGGTACAAATCCAGTGCTTGCCAGAAAACATCCTTTCAGCCTTGACACAAGTTGTCTGAAGCTCTGTCGATGCCAACCCCAACCATTGTGCCATCATCAGAGACATTTGGAGGTTTCTGTGGTACATTGCAGGGAGCTGCAGCTGCTGTTCATAGGAAACACATCCAGACGTAACAAGAAGCAGGTAAGAGATGGGAGCTACTGCTCCAGTGTTACCTGGCTTAAAAATACTCATGGTATCAGTGAAGTTAGTCCTCTGGTGAATGGCACACTTGTTTCACAGAAATCAAGTGCCTTACTTGAATCAGAGAGAAACATGCAGAGAGTAAATCAAGACTTCTTTTGGAGATCAAAGGAAAAATCTGGGCTACCTGGTTCATGTATTTAACTTTAGTGTGTAAATTGGGATATTATCTCATGCTAGCCAATGATGAGATACTATTCTAGGCAATAATGCAGAAAACAAAGTCACACTCGTACTCTGAAGTGTGTGGCAACCAGAGGACCCTGCCTATTTCCACTTACTGTACAGGAGAAAATAGTTGCTTCAAGAATAAAGGTGATAGACCAGAGAGCAGGTGTTACTATGGTTCTCTGAACATGCATAGCCCAGATAAGTGCATATTATGTTATATTATTACCTTTTTTATTATTGTGATGTTACTCACCAGCTTGAAATCACTGGAAAAAGAGGCAGTTTCCCCTCAGCTGGGGAAAGATTGTTCATTGTTTTAGGGGAAACACTTCAAGAACAGCTCTGCTGGAATATTAAAATAGATATGTAACTGTTTGGGGTTTTTTATTATTATTTCTTCAGGGATTGAACAAGATAAGATCTGCACTTGCAAGCAGCCAGAAAGCCACGCATTACCCATATGAGGGAAGATCACCCACACGGCACAGATCTGCCATGAGCATTGGGAGGGGAGGAGGCAGTTCAGCCAAGTGTACCATGGATGCCCTTGCATTGTGGAGAAAGGCACAAGCAATTGGATTTAACCAGCTGGGTGGAATTTGATTTGATTAACTTTGGCACAGTTTCACATACTCTCAATTCATCAGTGAATGGAGTAACTATATTGGAAAGCTACTGGGGAAAAACAACATTGCCCCTGATGCTGCTGTCACGGGCAGATAGAGCACAATCCCATACAGTCTCACTCTGTGTTTTTCTCTCTTCATTGTCTCCCTGGTTAGTTTTTTTGTGCCAGTGTGTGTCTTCCTGTATCAGGATTGGCTGCCTTTTCTTAGTCTGAGATCTTGGCATGGAAAGAGCAGTAATTACTCCATGGTATGACTCGATGACTATGAGCAAGGGTGGGAGTGCCCCCTCTTGAACAATAAAACCCCTTGTAGAGAAAAGCCTAACTAAACAAAACAAAATAATGTGTAAAACCAGGCAGTGCTGCCACAAAGCTCTTTGCCAGCCAGAGAGTCTATATGGAGTATGAATAAGAGCCTACTGTGTTTTATTCCGTTCTGCCTGTTAAAGATCCCATTCTATAAAGAGGTATCTGTTAGTCTGCTCTGATTTCATACAAGCCCAGGCAAATAAAACTTCTTTAGTTTCAATGAAGCTAGTCCTAATTTACAGTAAGAATGAGAACTGAACCAGCCCCAGCAATTTGGGATAGTATGTTCAGACAAAACTTTTTTTCTCAAATTCATCTTCAGAAAATAAAATCACCCACTTTTATTCAACTCTCAATACCTAGCAATTTTGAAAATCAGTCATGGCAGCTCACAGTTAGAAACATTTAAGTGTAGTATGAGCTTACAAGTCCTGTAATATAAGCTAATAGAGGTTAATATGCAGAAGATCAAAGTCTTTAGGAACACAGCTCACCAGAAAAGCACGTGTCTGTACATACATTTGCTCAGCTGTCTATACGAAGAAGAGCATCAGGGAAGTTTATTGCTTTATCCTACAGCTCCCCAGCAGACCAGCCTTTGTTTAAAGAATAGATTTGAAGAAAAGTTAAAGGTTTCAGAGACAGGGAATCAAGATAAATATGGTGAACTGTACAGACTCATCTCAAGAACTTTTTCTGTGAAACAGTCTCACACTGAGTAAAGTTCTCCTAAGTATTAACATCTGTATTGAGTGAAAATACTTTCCTTGGTTAACTTTCAAATCAAGAGGTGAAATTAAAAAGTAAGAACATTCTCAGTATGAGAATTAAAGCTCTTTAAGCATCCAAGTTTTCAATAGAGAAGTGTTCAGGCATGAGTCTTTTTGATTTTTAGCAAGGTACTACAACTGTAAATATGTAGGAAGTCAGAATTGTAGAGAAGCCAAAAATCACCCTTCTCCAGACAAAACCCCTGTGCATATGCCTGGAAAATACAGAAAATGGAAATATGGATCTTAGAGGTAAACAGCCAAAAATCAGTTAATGTACTTAACAAATGAACAACAGATATATAATTTTGAGTGTGTATTTCTGAGAGATTTTGTTCCATTTCCTCAGGTCCTGTATGGTATTAGGTAATACTTTTTCCTTTGAAAAATAATGCAAGATTGAAAACTATACACCAAAATGGGCCAAAAGTAGAAAGGAATAAAAGTAATGAAAACATTACCCCTTGGTAATCCAGAGTCCTTTCCCTCTCAATGAAAAAGTACCCAGGACATAACAAGCATACAGAACTAAAATTGAGGCTTCCATGTGAACATTTAAAAATTTCCTCTCAAATATGGCAAAAGCTGGCATGATCCTTAGAATCAGTTTCCATTATTTTGGGAAAAAAAAATCTGCTCCATTGCAGACTGTGTAAGACTCTTGAAAACCACTTAACCCCTGTATTTCAGGTCCCTTTCAGTGAATGGGAATCATAGAATCTCACCATAAGAAAGGGGATTTTTAAGACTAAAGTCTTTAAAACAGCAAGTTGTTCATGTGTTGCAGGAAAGGGGACCAAGTAAATAAAATGGATGTGCCATGGTATTTCTGACATGCACACCAACACTGCTGAATGCAGTGCCTGTACTGGTAATTAAATGTGAAACAAATTCTTGTCTGTTGTAATGCTTTTTGCCACTTGTGTAGTTTATTAGCTTTGCTGTCACCATCACTCAACAAGCAGATACATCAGTTGATAGAAGAAATGCCAACACGAAGATAGCAAGTTCATAGGTTAAAAAAGTCATCTTTTCTCTATAAATAGAGTTGGTATAAATCACCAGAGTCTGCAAAATGGGCTTGGGAAAATTAGTCACTGACCTACAAACACTTCCTGCTGGATGTATGGGAATCCATTTCACACAGTTAAGAGTGACAAGAACTAAAGCAGCTAAAGAAGCAGGACTTTATGGCAAAATAAAGAATAGAATGTCCTAGCAAACATGAAAATAAAACCAAGTCCAACTAATAAAAATACAGTTGTACTACTGTGGAAATATTCTAAATAATCAAAGGGTAAAATGAGCCATTTAAATCTACCATTTAATAAAAAAATAAGGGAATATTTTTTAAATTCTGAATGAGGAAATTATTATGTATTTTCAGTGTCCTGCAGTCCTTGTGGCAGCTCTGGAATTTCAGCAGCTGACCAGCCAGCAGGCCTCATGATATGCCATGATCTAGCAACGTGTGGTTAAACAGGGAACCCAGCACAGCAGCTTCTGTAGGAAACTGCTGACTAACTTGGGAAGAATCTAGTCAACTTGAATTATACTTCAAATTAAAGAGCATATAATTAATAAAGACATTTTTATCTCAAGTAAGGAACTAGCTTGCTGTTTTCCCTTCAAAGTTAATGCTACCCTTCACTGCTGGAACTCTTCAGCTAACATTATACCCAAGTGTCCTCTGCTGTCACTCAAAAAATACCCGTTAGGGAGTGCCACAGGAAATAAAATACATGCATTAAAACAGGTATTTTCTTAGCCCCAGCTCATTGAATCACCAGGTTTACTTCAGAAGACTTTTGTTGTGCTCACAATTGTGACACTTTCAAAACACTGACTAATTAAGTGATGAGTGTCTCTTTATTTTAAAGCTACTTCACTGCATAGGATTTAGAGACACCAGATTTTTACATTCCAGGAACTTTGAACTCTCACATAATTTGACAATTAAGTTCTAAAACATAACATTCAAACATATTACAAGATATGAATAAAAATTGCAGCCCTCCTAGATAAGTTTGGCTTCAAGCAGAAAAGACAGGCCTCCTCAAATTCATTTTGAAAAACAGAGAAGTGTCTTGTATAACATAGGACGGGATATCTGCACTTTTTTCAAATTTTGTAGTAAAACTTCTAAAATAGCATGAAGCCATTTCTAATAAATAGCAAAAGCCCAGTAAAAAATACTTGTTTGTTTCTGCAATCTCTGAGTTAAAATAATTTCTAATATTGTGTGAGTTACATGAATTGTAAAATTTGGTACAAGAGTACAAAACAAACTTCTTTCTTTGGAGTGCTTAGGCAATTCAGGTCAGATGTTTGCAGCTGCCCCTTAAAGATTTAAGGCAAATGAAATCCAGTCTGTATTCAAGCTTTACAAAGTCTCTAACCTCAACCTTAATTGTCTTTGTCCAAAATAAAGTTGCCAAGGATACATCTCACTGTTTAATAAGGTGGTTTATCCATAAAGGTAATATGGTATTTTCTCTTAGTCTGTTAACTAGTTTCATAATTCTCCCAGTTGTTCAGACTGAGATATGTTAAGAATTCACAGCTGCTTTGGCATTGCTTACATAGCTAAAATATGTGTCTTGATAATGGCTAATATCTCTCATCAAATATGTGTTGGCAAAGCATTTAGGTTCAGGATAAATCATGCTGCTAGCCACAGTGTAGTCAACAAAAGGATAAATATTATACATTATGTAATGCAAAATAAATTTTCCATAATTCATTGAGAGTGTTAGGGCTCACAGACTCCTTGAGTTTGATTTATACCTTTAATCATGCACAGTCCCATTGATAAGAGTTTAAAAAAGCCAAAAACAAACCAGAAAACCTAAACCAGCTTTGCAGACCAAAACTCCCCAGAACAAGCACTGGAAGAAGCAGAAATACAATCACTGAGTTAACTGTCTCATTGCAAGCCCTTGCACTTCAAAATATCCTGCTTTTAGATGTGCTTAAACTTAATGTACAATTCTGCAGATGCCATCAAAGCAGTAAATGTGTCAGGGGCCCCTGCAGAATACAGCACCACTAAAAGCTGCATGGTAGGGTCAGTCTTAGGGAGAATCCCAACAACTCCAAGACCTGCCCTGACCATTCCTTCAGCCCGGTTCTACCAATCAATTTTAGCAAGTCCATATTTAATAAGAATATTCCTTTTTGTTTTTTTTGTTCTTCCATAGAGGGCCAGTCATGTTGTAGAGTGTCTTTCCACTGACACTGCATCAAATCTCTTGGGCCCAATGACAGCAACACTTGCACATATGTAAGAGGGTCATTTCAGAAGGGAGATTTGCCATCCTGAGCTTTGGAGGTAAATATCTCCTTTCCAGTGAAAGTAAACAAGAACCAACAGCCTAAGTTTCATTGGCACCATTGGAAATCTCAGCTTAAACTGATGCATCCAGTGCACAGAACTTCTAGATCCCACTAATGGTATGCTGAACAACACTGGCCAACACTGAAAGACACAAACCTGTCCCTCTTCCCTTTCCCTGGGACAAGTACATAACCAGAGGAAGGAAAATCCTTGAGTGCTATTCCTTCTGCAGGCACATGAGTTGGGAACTTGTCCTGCCCTCAATGCTACCATTTCCCAACTCTGGCACTCGTCTCTTGAAAAAGCCAAAATATACTACCTGAAACTCACTCTAAATCACGTGTTCAGTGTTACAAACCCGGCTGTCCTCACCTTCCACATGCATGATCATGTCTGTTCCCCTCTGCTGATGTATTTGTATGGTTATACAGGAAGCTCCATCAGGAGCCTGCTCTGTTTGAAGCTAAATCAGCCAAAGGAGTTTTCAGCCAGTCTCTAACCCAGCTCACCATGTAATTGTGCTAACATTACTGCTAGCTCAAGAGAAGCAGTGGAAATATGCAACTGGGGAAAGATAACACTGTTTTTCTGGGTCATGGTCTCACTCAAGGGGCTTAAGTGACTGAGACAGCAGCCTAAATTTGGGAATCATGTCTGAAAGCAAATGTATTCTCATGAATCCTCTCTATTACTATTCCGATACTGCCACTTCCTTTTGTAGGACATTTCAGTGTTTTTCCTAAGTAAGATGCTGAAATAAAAGCAGGACAGTATTTTTAATCATGTGAATTTGACTGGTGCAGACAACTGTAGCTTAAGCAGTTTATTTGAAACCTTCCACCATGCTGTTCTCTCTGTATTGGTTATATCATTTGCTTCCACTTCATGAATCTGGAACATCAGACAGTATTGCTGAGCACAGACCAAGAATCAGAAATATATAATACAGATGCTGAAACAATCACTAGCTTTTTATTAATCCTGTTATGGTTATCTGTCATGCCGGAAATAATAATTCCAAATTATCTAATTTCACAAGCACAGTTACTGGACCTCTGCTTGTGCAATATTTGAAATGTATTTTTAAGTAAAAGATGCAAAGTTTTTTGCTGTGCCAAAGCATAATTAGAATTGTAATGTTCTGTCAAAGGAGGAGTTACATATTTTCTGACAAAAGAATAAAAAAAGTTTGGGGAAATGAGAGGCCATATAATCAAGTAAAACAATCTCCTTTCATGCCATTTCTGAGAAAAAAAATATTAACAGCTACTACACAATCACCCAACTTACCACTTCCAACCACTTCAACTTACTATTGGTTAGGCATGGGGAAATGACAAGCTACTGGTTTCTACTTCCAAAGTTGTGATGTCATGCTATCTTGACTTCTATCAATCTACTTGAGCATAAGGGAAGCTGATGCAGTAGAGAAGACTGCCAAGTATTTTATCTGACTGCTACCTTCACAAAACCAACAGAAATATGTTACATCAGGAAATAACCATTTATAATAAATTTGCAGCATTTTACCCTTTGAGGAAGGGCCTACAAATGCAAAGTTCTCTCAATTCCTTCTAACACTTCTGAGATTATATTGTATTTTTTATGAGAAGCTTTGGTATGAGAGTCCTAGAAAACTAATTTTCACACACTCATAGAACAAGCGTAGCCTTGAGGCTAAGAATTAAATCTTAGCTTCCTTGCAGTCAACTGAATTCCTCCTGAAATAAGAGAAAAATTATTCCTTCATTTCTTGAAGTCTAAGTCAAGAGTGGGCAGTTTTAGTTCTGAGTATTTTTGAGATAAAGATATTTGTGTATTGTCCTGCGTATCTCATTAATACTTTTATTTACAGATATACTTTTTTACCCTCACTCCAGTGGCATAAGACCTAAGCTGACTGTAGAACGAGTGAATTCAAACACTTGGCCCGAATAAACACAAACCCCAGCTCTCTAATAAGGCCTGAAACAGG